TTGCTTAACCAGCTCCCACTCAGTGTGTGTTTGAGTGGCTGACAAAATATCTCTGCCCAGAAATCACTTATAAAAGATTTTTTTTGTTTGTTTTTGGTCTCTTCTCTTAGCATATTTCAGAAAGAAGAAGGTCAAAATTCCTCTTATCTCCTCAGCAGGGATTCCTCAACAGCTGGACAATGCATGTGTTTTATGTCATGACCCGACGACTCACGTTAAGTTTTTTTAAAATCATTTTTCTCCCCAAACTGCAGCACTTTTAACTCACGTTAAGTTTTTTAAAAATTTTTCTCCCCAAACTGCAGCACTTTTTGAAATAAGGCCAAATCAAGAAGACAGGAAATCTCAGTCAGGACCAAAAAGTGTCGGCTTCAACATGTGTCGTTACTCCTGAGCATATGTCAGTGTGTTAACATGCACATGCTGACAACTAGAGAGCGGGGAACCGTGTAAACAGGAAGCCGACTAAGTCACATGTCCAAAGGCTCGACAGACAGAGTATGTGAGTCTAACGCAGGCAATTTTTCACTTTCTTTTCTCACAGTTGTTCTGAAATTTCTGAGCAAAATGTTTACTGTGTGGGTGTAGCTGCAGGTACGTACCAGCTGAAATTCTCTGCGGCGATCATAGGCATTCTGTATACCTGAGTCTGCCCACAGAGCTTTGATAGAAGGCAGGTACTGCAGGAATACAGATGTGCCCAGCTGTCCTCTGGCCATCATAGCTGAACGGGTGTCGAATGCCATGACATTGTTTCCATGTTTCTGATTGTCCGGGTCGCCCCATGGGATGTGCAGCTTTTCTCGAGCATCTACCATTACACGTATACCTGGTAGAAAGAAAAAAATTAATTTGTTTCAGATGGTTCGACCACACATCAACTCAGAAGTTTACCCTGAAAAAAGTCCTTCTAAGGGAAACTTGCTGATGAAGTATTACATAGAAGAGAGGAATGAAACCAAGGGGAAGAGAAATAGAAGAACACCGAAACCAAAATTATAACACAACACTGATTTCCCCAAAACAAAAAGTGATCTATGACAATACAATATAATACACCAATATCAATACAGAGTACTGTACCTGATTGATCTACCTATTATTTTTTATACCACAAAGTATTACAAACTATGATGTAAACTTCAAATATATGCACACATTTTAAACACACAGTAATTTACATCCACAATATGTACAATGCTTTTTAAGAGCCAGCATATAGTCCTAGTAGGAAGTGACACTAAAGGACCAACAGAGAAAAGCTGGTGTCTTATTATATAACGTTATTATTATTATTATTAAGGTCATGGCTTTACACCTTGTAGAAAAAAAACAAGTGGAAGGATAGCTGGGTTGCCCAGTTGGAGCAAGTGATGTCAGACTTTCAGAACTTGTTTATGTATTATTATTATTATTATTATTTACAAATATCTCTATTCAAACGCAGGTACCTCTAAAATGGAGGTCTTATTTCTTCAAAATTTTAGTTTACTACCAGACGGTTACGTTTTTCAGCATATACTCCTAAAGCCTATCTATGTTACTAGATAGGCTACTAGATTATTCGTTTAAAACCAACGGCCTTTGGGAAAACAAAAGGTTCCACCCATCACAATGAAAGAGAAACGGAATGTATCACGTTTTTCTAAGTTACTGCAATACTATCTGGATATGTCCATCTGTACAATATTTATGCAGCTCACAAACATGCACGACACGTGTTGGAAAATAGTCATACCATTTGAGATGTCTGATTGAACTATGATCAATATGAATAGGTTTCTGCTTCAGAATCATCTACATTGACATCGTGAAGTAGGAGCTGGTTTCTGTAAAGTGCCATAGTGAACAACTTCGAAGTATCGTGAAAGCTCTGATAACAATTATATCGTTCAGGGGAAATTGGGGCACGTCGTTCATATACAGTGCATAAACTATTATAGGGTAAATGTGGAATAGTATCGTTCGTAATAGATAAAGTTCGGCAGTGGGCTGTTAAATATGGGATTTCACATAACGTACGGCAGATATGGGTGTGCCGAGAGCAGATATACACTGTTTATATATGTGTACGTCCTCTCACCCAGCCCTGCTACCAGATGTGGGAACTTTGCCATCCATTTCACCGCCATCCTGTGGCCTGTTTGGAGACTGTATTCGTTTTATAAGTGATAGAATTGTAAGCAACGATCCTACCTTTGATAACGTTGCTGTAGATCGTGGCTCTGAACTCCTCTCGGGCTTGCTGGTCGAAGTCCTGGCCGTGAATGATCCGCATTTGTTTGAGGAAAGTCGACTTGCCGCTCTCGCCAGCGCCGAGCAACAGGATCTTTACTAACCGCTTCACATATGTTTTCTCGCGGGAGAGACATCTGTCGATCTCCTTAGACTTTCGCAGCTGTTCCGACTCGCCGCTGTTAAGCAGGCAGACAGGTAGACAAACTTTTAGCACGGACCTGGTCGGCAGGAAATCCGCCATGTCGCACAAACTTCATCGGTGCTAATTTGATGCGCGTTCACGGGGCGCGGGCACAGGACCAAGCCCCTTCCCTAAACTCAGGAAGTAGTGCTGCTGACGTTTTATTATCAATCTTAAACCACTTTACGGGTTTTTTCACTATTGGTGTCTTGTTTTTTCACACAAACATTAAAATATGGAAGACTCATTTTTAGTTATTATCAACAAATATGTGATTTCTGGGGAATTCTAACTTCAGTCAGTCTTCTCTGTTGAGACGCAATTCCGCACTTTTTAATAAAAACACCACTTTCACAAACAAGTATCAGAAATTGTAGCCACTTTCTGTAATAGATGTTATGAAAAAAATGATAAGTAAACTAATTAAAAAGTGACGCTAACAACAAACGAATCAGAGTGTAATGGTAATATGTTGCCCTCTGCTGGAAATATTTAAAACTGCAAGGTACAGTTCGACTGTAATAGAAAGCTAGGATTTGATTGGCTAATACTTCCCCGGTTGGAGGTATGTTGCCTTCATAGGCTATAGGACATTTTATTTTAATTACATCACGCTTCTCCAAAAGGTAAATAAATTGGAATACAGATGGTAATACTTTCTAGATGAATATGCGAAATGCCTCTTGTTTATCATAGTCCTAGCAATGAATTACAAAATGTATTTTAGTACACTATTTTTTTTATTAAAACACTGTTATTAAATATTAAATGCAGGTTTTTCCCATGTACGTGACCTGATACGTTGTCAATGAATGCATGGATATTATATATTTATTATCAATACAGTGATAAATGACACTACATGGACCAAAATATCAACAAATAAGTAAGAAATTCTAGCAACCTTCTAAGAGCTGTTAGAGAGTACGTGGAGGCAGCATCAATATTGATACCTCCACCATCCACACGACACAACGGCTCACAGACAGCCAGAGCATCGCGTGTGTGTGTACACCTGTGAGTGTGAGTGTGTGAGAGAGTGACCAGCATCATCATGACTATCAGAAACACAGTCCGGGATCATGGACAGAGGTATCGACCACGAATGGCTTGTCTCAAAAAGGTAGGGCATCCTTTGTTTTACATCAGTGGTAATAACAATCCTCTTCTCTCAGGCTGAAGCAGTGAACTACACACCTGCAGACACGTCTATGTACACAGGCTATCCTCTATTTTTGACACTGTTTAGTGTTTACAGCTGTGTTTTTTTAATCACATCAAACAGGTGTGTGTGTCTGTAATCTTTGTTATCTCGTGGTTCAATAATAACCGATAATTAATGGAATAATACTTTCGACATCAAGAAAAAATCACAATGGAATAAAAAAAAAAAAAAAATGCAACTGTTGATGAAAACGTTGTCCTGGTCTACGTATATTCCCTACTTCCAACACCTGTCACCGTAAATATTAATACTCTTCCAACCTTTTCACATGGACAAGGTCAATTATTTTAATAAGCATTACGCCTGGCTCAGTATTAGGCACCAGCACCTAGCAGCTGTAGAGATGAAGTTAATCCAGACACCTTGATCTAAAAACAAATATAATAGGTTCTAGCTACAGGAAACTGCTTTGAATTTATCACCTCACATTTTCAAATGTATATATATGTTGGAAAGAAATAACTGAATTTGACACATAAATAAATGAATTTACAGGCGTTTATAAATTGTAAATACAGCAGCTGTGCAAGAGAATCATCGTCCTATGAAATCCACTTTGGTTCAACTCAGTCTGAGGCATATAACCTCTCTAGGATGACTTCAAAGTACAAAGCCACTTCAAACAAGCCAGGGAGTCTGTACACACACTAACACACACACAGTCACACTTTTGTGCATGCAGAAAAACTCTCATCATGCACACTAAATAATAGTTTCTTGCTTTCCTGTGTAAGTCGGAGCTCTGCTGGTATTAATGGGGGTTCTCATGAAATGAAAAGTAAAAAAACAGAGTAGTGACTCATTGCAAACCTCCTACACAAGCCACACAATAGCCAGGAGATCAGGGCATGTGAAAACCTCTCCTCCCACCTTTAGCCATGCCTACTTGCAGTACTGTTGTCACGTTGCTTTTTGTGTGTGGCAAAGCTGCGTAGTCGTATCAAGAGAGGTCACTAATTTGCTAAATTACTCTGCAGTTCTGTGCTAGTAAGCGTTAATTACTGCCTGTGGTGGTGACTTCTCAGAGAGGGAATTTGCATTTAAGTATTAAGAGCAATTACATTAAATTTTGCTGAAAAGTTGTATTGAACAGAAAGCAGGTCAAGAGGGCTCTTGTACCTTTCAGTGATGATCATCATTTTCATTATCACCATCACATCGACATAATGCAAAATCAATAACAATTTTTTATACCAAAAAACAACAAAAACAAAAAAACAGCATCAATTTTATTTCATCCTGTTGACTGGTTACTTCTGACCCACATTCCACCTCAGCTACTGTCTGTCACTGTCTCTTACTCTCACAGGCTGAGAGGATGCTGCTGGAGATGCAGGATCCCAAAACTGGAGTCAGGTCACAGCCTCAAAGACTGGTTATCACAACAATACCACATGCTATTACTGGTAAAAGGGCACACACACACACACACACACACACACACAGTGAGTGATTTTCCCATTGGAGGAGACCAGAGATGTGGGCTCAAGCTTGAGAGCTTCAGATTCCATCTCCATGACAACCCCTCAGTCTCAGAGTTAGAAAAAGTGGGAGGTGAAGGAGGAGGATGATGATGGAAGGGGAAAGAGGCAAAGGAAGAGGGAGATGGTGAGGAGATGGTGTTGGTGGAGGAGGATGATAACAAGCAGAGAGGGAGGCCGGGCTTCTAAGTCATCCCTGGGCTTTGAATGTACACAGCCAAATACAATAGCTGACGCTAAGCTAACACCCCAAATAGCAAATGCAACATGATTGCAAGGATGCATTTAAGGGTATAATACACCAAGATTATACCAAGATTGTCATTGACCCTGGTGGAAATGCTGCAAACATATTTTAACTGCCCTGCTCAATTACTTTAGAGACACAAAAAGTAAAGTAGGTTTTAATAGAGATATTTATTTGACAGCGGCCTGTTTCTTCAGAGCTGCACATCCAGCCTCTCTGTGGTTTATTTTTAGGAAATGCTGACACAGTTTACCTTTAAAGAGAACAGCCTTCCAGAGATAATGCATAGAAAACACAAGGACTAAAACATTACTGTGCAACACATTTAACCCTTTCATATTTACCTCATCCTTGAAATCAGACTTATGCAGGTTCATCTTGAGACAGAATTCATTTTAATTCCATCATTTACTCTTGTTGATAATCACCTGTGATTATCAAACAAACAAACAAAAAAAAAACAAACAAAAAAAAAAAACAAACAAAAGCACACATGTCACTTTCATTTTCAGGTGAAGACATAGTTTCGTGGATAGCGGAGACATTCCAAATAGATGCCAGCGGTAAGAAATAAAGCATCCGGTTGAAAATTGACATCCATTTAACCATTAAATTTTCCTTTAAGCAATTGCTTATTGCTATTTTTATTGTTTTTAGAGGCGAAGAACATCGGCACCATGCTGGTAGCGCTGGGATACATCTACCCTGTACAAGACCACAAACGCTTAGTGATTAAGTCTGACGCATCCCTCTATCGTTTCCAGGTGATCACAACAACAACAACTTAGAACCCTTTTTATACAGTTATTAATACATTCCAAAGTAACATTAAGTTTAACATCTGGGTTTAATTTGATTTAAATTGAACAGAACTTGAAGAAGAAATTATTCAAACCCACACAGCTCAGCACAGCAAAGGTGTTGGTGACATATAAATTCTGTTGTTTTTTTTCAGACACCATATTTCTGGCCTACACAGCAGTGGCCTGTTGAGGATACAGATTATGGTGAGTGCGATTAGCTTTATCCTATCAGATCTTGTGCCTTCACTAAGTTAATGATCTGTTGTTGTTTTTTACTCACTGTAGCAATTTACTTGGCCAAGAGAAACATAAGAAAGAAAGGAATCCTGGAGCTGCATGAGCAGGTGAGTAGGCGACTGTGTCACCCACAGAGACATGCATGTGATGCGTCGACATTTTCTGTCTAATCACTGGTTTACGCCCTCAGGAACAGTATAACCGACTGCACAAGTGGATGAATCATAAATGGGATTTCATAGTGATGCAGGCCAAAGAACAGTATAGGTAAGTGCACAGGTAACACAGAGATGGGTGATGTTTGAAACGTTCTTCTCTGACTCTGTCTTCCTGTTGTTTCTGTTTCAGGGCTGCAAAGGAGAGGAAGAAACCAGACCGCGTGGTTTTCGACTGCCAGGAGAGGGCGTACTGGGTTGTTCACAGGCCACCGGTAGGAACACAGACAGTCAAACAGCATTTAGCTTCACACAGATAACAGTGGGGCTGCTAACACGGAGAGGTCTGAAAATAAATCACACTTCACCTCTTCACTTCCCTGGGTATCTCATTATCTCTACCCATGATGCCTCATTACCATTACATGTCCAGTCGGAAGAAAAAGGCCAGGAGTGATTAATATTTCACTCAGTGTGGGAGACTGAGGCACAGTTTTCACCTGCTGCTGGTTTCACCCCGGTGACATGAGGCCACATTACTGAGCGTAGACAACTGCTGTCCACACCTGCAGGCCTCCCACGTGACCCAGCTCCACTTTGTTGTCAGGTGCATTGGTTGGGATTTGAATAGGGGTTTGGCAGAACATTGCACTGGATCAAAGTCAGTATAAAGTGCAGTGATAATAATGGCCTCACATCCCTGCTGCTTCAGAACCTGATCTGTAGGCTCAGGTTTGAATGAGGGAGGTTGGAATATTTCAATAGTGTACATATTGAAAAATTGTACATAGTGAAATATCCATCCACCCGTCCATTTTCATCCGCTTATCCGTTACCGGGTCGCAGGGGCAGCAGTCTTCATGACCACCACCCAAATCACACTGCACCGTACCTAAACCTTCCTGCAGGTGGTGAGTCCACTGGAAGGTATTAACCGCCCTAACCGGGATTCCACATGATTTAAATAAGCATCACAGTGACATGTTTTCAACTTGTAAGTCCTTAATTAGAAATCAACATGGAACCAGCTGGATAAACACACTGTATTTATATTCAGACTGCACTGTCACTTGATGTAAGTTTCACTTATTTCTCTGTCTGACATCTTCATGACTCATCCTCCTCCTTTCTTTTTTTAAAAAAAAGTCAGAGTAACCTTTCTCTCAGAGCTCTAATGTCATTATCCAGGGACAGTCTAATGCAGTTTCATCTTATTCCATTTCCTCTGCAGACATACAAACAAGATTTATTTGAAATGTTTACGTCAGAATTACAAGTCCTTAATAATGGCAGAATTTGTCCTTTGAGTGGCTTTGCTGCAGCTGGAGTCATAAAGAAGTGATTCTTTGCATTAGTGCTGATCGTCACATTTGTTTGGACAGAGACAACTTTATCTTCATCTACCTCCAATTGAATCAGATGCCACTTGTAATACAGACTTCTAGTCTTTTTATTAATTAATGAGCCTCCTTTCGAGCATCTTGTGACATCAGTTGTGTTTGTGTGTCTGTGCAGCCAGGGACAGTAAGTGCCATGGACTGTGGACTGGACAGACGAATAGATCCCAATGCAGAAGAGGTAACAGGTGAGTCTGTGCTTGTCTTAGATGGACATAAGTCCTGTCCATCAGATTACATTTAATAAGAGGCTTTGATAGAAACAAGCAGCTACGGTAAATGATACTCAGCTCCTCTGTCGTTACGCCAACAGGACATCTTTGACTAAAATGTTTTTCTTTTCTTTTCTCTTCTCCTTCCTAACATCCTCTATTTCTATTCTATTCTATTCTATTCTGCAGGCATTTGCAGTATATATATCCAGTTTTTGTCAAACTGCACACAAACTCTAACAGATATATATACCTGTACAGTGCAGTAAACTACACCCAGACTGGGCCTTGAAGTCACCAACTACTGTGATTTTACTGACTATAATTTTAATAATAACTATTTCTGACATTATCTGAATTGTATCAGTATATGCTTGTACTTATTCTACATACACGTCCACAAATACACTGAAGACAAATTCTGTTCTAGTTCTATGATACTTGCTATGACAACATTATGTGTATCCATTGCCTTCCCTCAGCCACGAACACCTGACTTCTACGAGAGAATTGTGAGTGAGATTTTACACTTCCACTCCCACTGTGAATCTTTGAAACTTCTTACCAGGTTTTTTTCAAATGATTGAATGTTTCCATTTGCCTCCAACAGATGATCTTCACCCAACAGTCCATCATGAGGCCCAGAGTGAAGTCATCAGTGTCCATTGCGGCGTAAGATTGTCCGTCTGTATAGTGTCTGTCCCTAAATAACACAGACACAAGTACAAATGAACTGAGAAGAATGAAGTGTTCTTGACTGTTCACAGTGGTTATATGTCTGTACCAGGAGTTGAAAACAGCCAGACAACAACAGACAAAGAGACGACAACTTAACGTTCTCTATCTGATCCTGCAGATTAGTGAAATACTGTGCCACCTACAACAGCCACGACCCGTTCTTGTCCAAGTGTCTTCCCAGCAATCCCTGGCTCACCGATGATGTCACATACTGGAACCTCACCAAGCCCAAGTACGTGGGCTACAAATGCTTTGATTTTTGATTAAAATAAATAATCACCTGTCTCGTTCATCTGTGGTCGTGGTGTGTGACACAGTGTGGAGATTCCAACTAAAATGCGTGTGGAACGATGGACGTTTAGTTTCGGGGAGTTGCTGTCAGACCCTCGAGGACGAGATGATTTCAGACTCTTCCTGAAGAAGGAATTCAGCGGTAGGATATTTCATCAGGTTCTACCTACAACGATAGAGGCAAAATAAAGTGAAGTAATCAAGTGTGACATTTTTTTAGGTGAGAACCTGGCATTCTGGGAAGTTTGTGAGGATTTGAAGTGGGGTACAGCAGCTACGATGAGCGAGAAAGCAGAGCAGATTTACAAGTAATGTCACTGGGTTTAGTCTGTAGTTTTTATATATACATATATATGTATGTATATATACATACATACAGTATGACTTTATATGTCTTCTCTAAAGTGGTGAAGGTGAAGGTTGGAATTACGAGAAAGTTCAGTCAATAAAAATGAAATATTCAGGAAACTTTAAAGACATTTTCTCTGGATATTTGACTAAATCGTTCATGATTATAGAGAATTGTAACAATGTTTTATTTCACATGGCTTTCAAGTGTCTCTCGTTGTTCTAAAACAGGACCTTCCTGGCACGTGGTGCACCACGGTGGATCAACATTGATGGAAAGACAATGGAGATCACAGTGAGTGGTCTGAGACACCCACACAGATACGTCTTGGACGCGGCCCAGACTCACATCTACATGCTCATGAAAAAGGTCCGTATCACATCAGTGGGTTAGGTAAACCCTGAGACATCTGTTATGGCTTCTCCTTATCAATAACCAAAGTGTGTGCACTCACAAATATTACAGGACTCTTATGGACGGTACTTGAAATCTCCAGTTTTTAAAGACACGTTAAAGAAGGCCATCTTTCCTGAGGAGCACAAGTTTACGTAAGAACCCTAACCCTTTTTTTCCACTTTTTTCATACAATACCAAGTGCAGAAATGTCTTTTCCTCCAACTTCTCTGCCCTCGGTTTTCTCTTTTATCTTCCTCCAAATTCTCTTGTCCATATGCTGAACGAATCAAATCCTCTGGTCTTACAGCGATGCCCAGCTGGAGCACAACTCCAAGAACAGACGGCCCAGTCTCAGCCCAGTCGTCCTCCGACAGCAGGAGCAGGAGCAGAGGGCCAAGATGGCGGCCAACGCCCCCGTTGACATCACACAGGTCATGTCCAAACTCAGCAAGCAGAGGACGCAGGCGCCCCCTGCTCCTCCCGCTGCAGGGAGCTAAACACATGACGTTAGCACTATTGATAGTGCACAGCAGTTAGCAGAGTTTTATTTTCAGCCATAACCTTTCATTTCACAGCTGCTCTATTGCTATTTTTATTGTAAAGATGAATTAAATGTGTAATAGCCGAGCATTTGCTCATTGTTATCTTGTCTTTCACCCTCATTCCTCGCTGCATTCCCCCCATGTGTTAGAGGTTTTTGTTTTGTTTTGTCTGTCAGCTCATTGTTTTGGTTTTCCGTCTTTCTGACTCACTGCTTTGATTTTTTTTTTTACTTGCCTCCTACCAGTTTTTCTATTGTTGTTGCTAAGACTAGATCAGCAAGAGATTATAATCCAAAAAGTCAGAAAATTATAATTATACATTTAGGCTCATTTCACCAAAAAAGTATCACATCAAAGAAAATTATTGCAAAATGATGACAACTTTTAACGTCCTCTATATATGATATTTGAAATGAATCACTGGAACAATAAATAAACCCCAATACTGCACACCAAGGTTAGAATGTATTGGAATAGCCAAAATGAAAGCAGGTCACTTCATGTTAAACACACTATTGAGCCTGTTCTTTAATTAGGCTGTTTGAGGGTGAATGTAGACTTAATGAGACAGAGTGTAAAAAAGGGTCAAAAGTCAAAAGTTCTTGACCTGACCTGAAGCCTGACAGTGAATAATGTCAAGTCTCTTCATTCGTCTCTGTTCAGTCAAACTGTAATTCTTCATTATTTTTCCATGTTTTGCTGTTCATAAAAAAAAACTGTTTTCATTTTCATCCACCATTTGTCAATAAAAACATCAATGAGCCACCAGCACGTCACGTTCATGTGTCTGTCTTGAGCTGTCATTAAGTCACACTCTGTCCTTCTTTTTTTCTTTCTTTTCTTTCTTTTAATTCAGTCAAACATTTTTAAAGTTCGGTCTGATCAGTTTAATAAAATAGTTATATACTATTTTCTCTGAAGAAAAGCAATCTCCCTCTAACTTCTCTCTGTTGCCCTTTGACCTCACAGCTGTGCCGCTTCACCACTCCTGTTCCCCACCTTGCTGTGTACTCTGGCATCACTGACCCCCCCTCTGCCAACACCTCGCCCACTCTCCCATTCCTGACCCACAGTCCAGCCTGTCCGTCTCCCATCAGCGTGGCCTTAGACAGTACCTCGGCCTCAGAGCGGCGAGTGGAGCCCTCTGAGGGTGGAGAGGGGAACCTGCAGGCTCCAGCCTCAGTGTGTGCAAACGTGACTAAGTCTCGGATGCCTCTGTCGTTGCGTCGTCTGCTAAAGAGGGGCTGCAGCCCTGCCAATATGTTTGCCAGCTTGTCTCCCAAATACCACTCAGCCGCTGGGAGCAGTAGTCGAATTCAGCCGATCTGCCCGGATCAGGCCGGCCAGGCTCCTCCCAGAAGGATTGGAAAGTAAGAACAAGCCAAGAGAAAGAAAAAAAAACCCAACAGAGTTTAATGAACTGTTTTCTTGTGAAACCTCTGGAGCATTGTCCTTACTTACAAAAGCTCTAATGTGAACTCTTATCCCAAGGTTCTTTTTGTCGCCCCCTGTTGGTTCACGGGTCCTGTTTTTGAGTTTTGACTTGTTTCTCCATTAGGCTGGGACAAAAGAAGACATAGCCAATAGAGTGTTTGTTTGTTTGTCAGCACCACAGGGACATGGACCTCTGTACTGTATTCTAATAACACCTGGCCGTCACGTCTGTCATTTTACTCTTTTTCCTTTTTCCTTTAGTTTTTTTCAGATTAAGGTTGATATTCCTCCAGAATGCCGTATCTACCCCATTGAATCTGAGGATGAGGAGGAGGAGAACAGAACAGCCTTCCGGGGTGGAGGAGTGGGAGCCAAGGAGATCATCTGCCCCTGGGAGAGCCTCACCTCACAGCATGAGATGGACCAATAGGGTTCCATTATCCAGGTATTAAACGTGGGGTTTGTCACTCTGTGTGGAACAGATGCAGTGAACATGAACAGGCTGGTACTCACAGATATTTGATAAAAAGATTTTACACAGAGCAGTAGTCTGTGGTATTTTTCAATGTTTACAGTTTTAATATTACTCTAAAGTCCAGGCCACAAACTACAACTGATGTTAAAAACAAATAATACTAACCTATCTGCCATTGTTCTGGTTCTGTTTCTTGGCCAATGGTGACCTGATGACATTTGAAGGTTTTCCCCCACAGTTTCTCCTTTTTAAGGTTCTAAATGGAATTGAAATATTTTTGTTTGTCTATTTCTTCATAAAATCCACATTTATTGAGGCTTAAAGGTTGTTATGCATGTCCTTGAACGCCACATTTATCCCCATAGATACACATGGAAACGAGGTGGCAATCTGGTTACAAAGAGAAACTGTTGAGTAACTTGTGGTCCACTGGATTTCAGTGATTTCTGTTTCTAATGGCAACTGCGAGGTCTTGTTTTTTTTAACCCCGCCCCCCAGGGATTGATAACCTGCTGATAGTGTATATATGGACACAGCAGCTGTGTTGGAGCCTGTGTTGGAGCCTACAGCCTTACGTTCGTATACTTTTGCAGACACAGAAGTTGGTTTTGCCTGTGGCAACGTCAGGGTGTTTGTTTATTCAAGATCCTCAAACCTTTGGTGTAGCTTTCAGTTTTTAACCTGGTGATCAGTAGCCCAGCGGCCTTATACACTTCTCTGTTGTCTTTCCGGTTTTACGAAACAGGCCGATTTTCTGTTTGTGACTGCCGGAGACAGCGTGTTGTATGGATATTATTATCAGACATGGTTATTTAGAGTCAATGTTTACATCCCAGTTTGTGATAGACCAAAGCAGACTTTAGAAATACTCTGTCTCCATGCACATGCCTGCTGAAAGTATCATGTATTTATATAAATATTGAGCAATGACCAGTTTCTGACATGGGAAAATGTTCTTGTGCTGCTGATTAGACTTAGACGCCTTGTCCCTAATCGTACTTACCTCTGAAATACACGTTTCACATATTTAAAAAAGACTGAGTAGGTGCATTAGAGGTGAATGAGGTCTTACTTGCAGCCTGTCCCCATATGCACTCTGCATGGATACATGATGTAACAGGAAACGAGGTGTGAAATAGTTTTGTATTTTGGCTCCTTTAATATTTTGTACGGCCTGGTGTAGCTGTTGTTTACTGTGCTCTACCCTGAGCAGGATGTCAATATTTTTCTCTCTCTAACGTCTTTCTCCATTGGTATAGTGGAGGTGAAGCGTGGGTCAGTGGTGGCTATGCTGTATAAATAACTGTTAGAATGTATCAAACTTGCGATGTTTACAGATACAAGAATGTGAAAAATACCTAAAAATGTGATGTACATCCCATGGCTTGTGTCAAGTGCCTCAATAAATAACCATCTTAACCAAAAAGCTTTTTAACCGTGTTGTGCTTTCTTTTTTAATTAATTACACGTCGTTAAAGAATTTTCACAAAATATTTTCCCAACAGAATAACAAGTAGGTGTATTAAGAGTAATTCACCACTAGAGGGTAATATTGTATAAATAATGGACGGCAGTCGCTTGCAAGGCGAGGAAGGTTTAGTTGAGTATTTCAAAAAATCTAAATAATAAAAACATTAAAATATGAATATTAACACGAACGACTAAACTGTACGTGATCTACTCAAGTGTCTCTTTTACATTTTATAAACAAATAAAACTATGGAAGATACATATCAACAAGCACTGGAAATATCTTAAAGGAAACATCTTTGGTTCTGCACTTTCAACAAATAATGCATGTTTTTTTTTTTTTTAAAACAAACACCTAATGCTAATACCTAATTCAGGTTAATCACAAATGTTGTAGAATCATTGACAGAAGTCTTTAGAGAAAGTTTGCCATCAGTGATGCAGTCTGAGGTCACTGTCGTGAATGAGCTCTACTTCCACTTCTTTGATGTATGAATGAACCCGACCAAACTCCTGCAGAAACATTCTGACTCATTCTGACTCTGCTGACGACTGCTGTTGGCAGCTTGAGCAACAGAGCTGGACGTGGTTGGACGTGACGTGGGCGGCAGCCTGCTCTACATCCCTTTCCACTTATCAGCTTTTACAACTACTAGCTTGTACTAAGCTGTTTTTTGGACAGCAGCCCCACCAGGTGTTGACTTGGAGCAAATACAGCAAACAGAGAAAAATGACTTTCTGTACAAACAGTAGGTTGGCCCAGCTGTGAGAGGTCATAGTCATAATACTTTACGCTCTGGAAACATGAAGAATTAACAGCTCCAGCATGGTTGATTATGTTACTTTTAAAAGCGTTTTCTTGTTCTTGTTTCAGAAAGAAGATCAGCATATCAGAATACTGCATATATATATATATATATATATCAGTATATCGGTCACTGAAAGTAATGGAGATGTGCTTAAAAGCAAGCCTTTGAACGTGTTGTTGACACTGTTGCAGACACAATACATATGACTGACTGATCTGGAGAATCACTCAGGTTCTCTGAACTCAGACTGGAGCACAGCTTTGATCTGTCCGTGTGTGTGTGTCGGTGTCTCTCTATATTCACAAAGGGATGTCCACACACACTCTATTCATACGTTACCTACCAAGGAGTCGTGGATTTACATGAAAAGAAAATAAATATTCATCTTAGTTGTGCATACATTTACATATATTTGTATGAAAACTTGGGTTGGGCACGAGAACGCCTCTCACAGAGGCAGTACATGTTTAATTAAAGGCTTTTATGTTAGTGAGTAATTCTTTTCTTTCTTTTATTTTTATTTGTAAATAAGACTTTCTGTCAGAGAGCCTTTGAGGACATTTGTACTAATGTAGTTCATTATCATTTATTCCCCAGCTGGGCTGCTGTTAGTAGTAGAAAGCAAACATGAAAGCAGACATATGAAACCAAATTTAAACCATAAAAAAAATGTCAGATGAAGGTTAAAATTACTTTACATAATGTTCATAGCCTTCTGGGAAAAGGTTTGTTTACTTGTTTTAACATTAGCTGTGAAGGAGCTACAAGTTCTGCACGCATCTAAATAAGGCAGAAACACATGTCGCTGCTGCTGCTGCCACTGCTGCTTTTCACCTGTTCAAAATGGCTACTTGAGGATTTTGTCCATTTTGTCTGAGTCAATGCTAATAATGTCGACACCGTCGTACAACTGCTGACGGACACTCAGACCTTGTGACACACACAGATCATTCCTGTGTGTGTTGGATTTGAATGTGGACCCTCACCAGTGTCCCACATAGACTGTCAGATGTGCAGACACAAACATGTGTGGGCCCCTGTGTGTGACCCGGCTGTGGCATGATAAATGACCAAATCAGAAGCATAATGACACGCTGCACGTCCGCCTGCTGCTGCTGCTGCTGCTGCCGCCGCCGCCCGTGCCGTCCCGGGGGTGGCAGAGGGCGGGGCCGGCGTGGGCGGG